GATATAAGATATATTCCTGAAAGGATTTGATTTTGCTACTTCAGTCCTCTTTGCAAAGCAGCTGGATTCATGCTTTTCCTTTCTCCAAGGAGTTTGCTGTGGGGAGTACCAGCCTCACAGAGCATCTCCCTTACAATTTCTTTCCCACTTCCTTTTCAGAAAACTACTCCATTACCCCAAACAGTGAAAAGCTGCTGACATCCCCCATGCAGAGGAAGTGTTAGGAGGGAATTATGATGGTGTTAAAACCTAGTTACCCAGAAGAGCTACTCACCCAGGAGTCATCTGCAAGCTGGTAACTGTTTGTGAACATTTGGAAACAGGGACTTGCTGCTTCTGTTTGAATATTTGAAGGGGATGGAAAAGATTTCTAGTGATTTCCTGTCTCTCCATTTGTCCCTTTGTGCTCCTATGAAACAGGACTTCTACTTATATTGATTTGCTTCGGAAATGGTCACGTAAGTGACATTCTTCACCTCAAGGCTGTAAAACTTGCAGACCAGACTTCCCTCTTTTGCCTGCCCTTGGTTGTCCTTCTTGGAGTTGTACATTAGGCAGTGCAATAACATGACACAGCACACTCAGGTAGCCCAGACTCCCCACTGGACAGTTTTGAGCGCACAGGGAAAGGAGCAACTCCTTCGTCACTTGCAAGTTAGCATGGACAGACAGGACAGAGAGCATATGGCAGAAGAGCTGGTCTGTCTGGTGCTGGCAGGGGCACCTCTGTTGATAAAGGTACTGCAACTGTTTGTTAATAAAAGCACTTAGAATCTTTGCATTTAACTATCTATAATTGCAAGCACAGGGCCACTCACACATCTGACAAAAGTGTTTTGTCTCCATCCTGTGCTGGGAAACACAAAGTAAATCACCTTCATATTCTTACTCACAGTGTTGTCTAATTTTTATGGTTCTTGCAATCTGCTCAAATTTTAAGTTGGTTACTTTTAAATGCACACTAAAAAGTGGAAACCTTTACCTCTGCTTGCAGGATGTAACTACTTCAAATTTATAGTCTAAGATAAAAAGTCCTCTCCCACTGAGCCCCTTCGAGAAGGCTGTTAAAATTAGGGCCAGTGTATTAAAAATCTGTTACATCTTTTACTAGTGAGCCATAACCTGCTTACTTCTGGGAAAATGAGCTTGCCAGTCTACTAAGGAACTGGCTTACTACCTTCCCAGTCTTTGTGAGGTGTCTGCTCTTTGTTCCCAGGTGGTTGTCATGATGGATGCTGTTCAATGCAGGAAAAACAATAATTTAACACATATTGTAATACAGTGCAGTAGCCCAAAGTATGATGATACTAGCCAGAGAGGAAAGAAATCTTTTAAAACAGAAAACATTTAGTTTCTGCAATAAAATAAATTTGACAAAGAAATAACTTGAGGACACAGACAGTGCAATTAAATGCTCTTTCTTTGGTCTTATATTTTCTCTGCAAAATAAGTAGAGGCAGAGGAGATAAAACAACCTGAAATAAGTAACTGATGGAGCACTGTAGCATGAAAAGGGCAGTAGTAAATTGCCTTGCAGGACTCAGCAGTTTTCCCAACAAAATCAACTAATCCCTGGGCTCCTAATGTACATACACATAGGCATTTTATATATGTGTTTTTTGAAGATATCTATACACTTCCATAAGCATGAATATTATATTTAAGGTACTTTCTACAAAAATTCTTACTTTCTATTTGCTTCATGTAATTTCCATCTCAGTAAAGGTAATTGTTGAGAATATTAAGGCAATTTACGAGCACCTGTGGGCTCATAAATCTTATGTGCTTATCCTAGAGATGTATCTTCTATATATATACTATATCAGGTGGTTTCTATCATCCATCAATGTAAAATGTATCTATGGGTAAAAAAAAAAAGATACCAAATCTAATCTTTGTCAAAGCAGACACTGGCCAACCCTGTAGTGATGGCAGCTTCTAGATGGTTCATTATAGAGGGTAGAATGGAGATGTGTAGTTTGTGAAAAAACTGACACTCCCTCAAGTTTCTCCCCTCCTATGAGTTTTTCAACGTCCTCAGGAAAAGAAATAGAAGCCTCATAAATTTATCCAACAGTTAGATCTTAAGGAGAAGGTCAAATGTCCATATTGAGGTCCCAGTTATGGGTACTAGACTAGAAAGCAGTTCAGACTGTTTTGAGTTAGCAACGTGTTTTAGAATGTTAAAAGTGAACAACAGTTGAAAATAATGAATTGTGCTTGGAGGAAGAATATTTCCATTTTGGGAAGAAGACTCAGAATGACTCTACATTAGCAGCTAAGCTCAGGGGTAAAGTTGTGATTGTGCTTGCTGGCTCTCCTCCAGCTCAGACCTTGAGAGGTCCTCCAGCTCAGGGTCTCTGCATGTACCCCAGCCGCTATCCTTCATGCACTCTATCAGGACCAAACAAGAGCTAAACTGATATAAACCTCTGAAATGCACAGACAGTGAGCACAGGTCCTCAGCACCAACTCCACAAGCGTGCTCTTGCTGGGTTGCACTACTCAGTAATGCTGAAATAAATGATTGGGTTAGGTACTGAATCAGCTTTAGGGTGTGTGGCAGCAGCTCTGGCCATAGAGAGCAGGTACAGGCCTTCCCAGGAATTTTCCCTGTGGAACGCTGCAAGAAGCTGTGAAAAAGCTCAGAGAAAGAATTAAACCAATTCTTATCTCCACTTGTTGCACCTGTCACTAAGCAAGTGGGAACATGTTATAGAAATTTGTTTGCCAAAGGGTGGTAGTGTTTTAGTTAGTTGACCAATGAGGTCAAAGTTATATCAGACAAGCTAGAAGAAGTTATGAGTTTCTTAAGAATATAGTAGGAATATAGTATAGAAGAATAAAGCAATGGTTCAGCCTTCTGCATGGTAGAGTCAGTGCTAATTACATCTGGGTCAGGGAGAACCCTGCACCAACAAGGGTGCTCAGCTCCCAAGTCCCTGCCTTGGGGCAAGCCTGGCCGTCTAACTCAGGCTTCTCAAACTTAACACTGGAAGTGGACAATGAAAATACTCCTCTCTTCTTCCATCTATGTCTGTGATTACAAATGAGACTCCTACACGACTGAGAAGACCTTTCTCCATTAATTAACTAGATGAGTTGACCATGGTGAGTGGTTATACTGAATCTTTAAACCTCTTACAAATGATATATAATATAAGCAATCCCTATGCTTGGCCATTATTTAAATACTCATGCAAAATCTAGGATTACTTGATGTTTTTCTCTCTTTCATGAAGGCTTATAATGACCTTAAAAGCATTAACTCAATATGAGGTCAAGGAATTATTTTAGCTGTGAAATCAGTTGCTTAATAATGTTTCCTCAGAGTCAAGAAATCATGCAGGCTGTAAGGTTCAAGTAATTATTTCATTTTTCTGCCTACATATTCATGTATTTAACTACACTCTGCACAAATAGAGAAATGAGTTAACGAGAGATTTTCAGTACTCGGGTTTACAGTGTCCAAAACATACAGAGAAGCATGTATCTGCAAAATTAAACAGCTATTTCTGTAACTACTTAAGAGATCAAATGCTGTTTTAATGTCATATATCAGTATATCTGTTCTTACATAGTACAAGCAGGATCTCACGCTGGTTTATCATTACTTATTAATGGCTTGTCTTTGATTATATAGTAAGTCAATTAAACAAGTTTATAGGTTGCAGTAGGCAAAAGAGAATAAATTTGGGTTTAGCCATAATTTTTAATTGATAAAAAATTATTATGATTACAATTTTTTTTCTGATAAAACATTAAATATTTCATTAAAAATATTAGATTTTGACATTACTGTGATGCTGTCTGTCTTTTTTAATGTCAATTGAAATAGGGCAATGCATGGGTAAAATGATTTGAAAAACTGCAAAATTGACAGAGTGTGTTCCTGCCTCATAATAAACAATTGCTGAATGATGTTTATTAAAATTGGCTCTCAAGTGACAGTTAATAAATGCACAGTTCTATTATGCATGCTAAATTCAGCATTCTGAAAACTTAAAAGCAAATAGATCAAAACCAACAGAGATAAAAAAGTCACAAAGACAAAATACAGCAACACCAGAAAGTGACAGGGAAATAATTCAGTCTTAAAAATTACTTATTATTTGGTAACTTGTAACAACAATTTTATAGAACTGAAAGAAGCAAATCAGAGTCTTTCTGATGTTTTAGATATGTGATTTCTCTAGTGCATATAGTTTGATCATATAGCAAAGAAATTCACATTACGAAGTACCCTTCAAAAAACCAAAAACCCAAGTTTCCCTCTGTTTCTGATTTCAAGTTATGAATAGTCATGGATAACAAATGCAGGACAAAAAAAAGGTGCAATAAAATTTAACTATTAATTTATGTTAATTAAAAACCTCCAATATTTCTTCAGTATTTGGAGAAATTAGACTACAAGCGCTGTGTTTCACATATACCCTGGCCATATCTGCACAGAATTGCAAAAATGCTGGATTTAATGGGCTTTGTGTCCTTAACTACAATCGCTCCATTGGCTCTTTGATGTTGCATGGGGTTGGTGTGATGATGGAAAGAGTTGCTTCAACCATGTATTTTCACCTCTGTTTCTAAAAGGTGAAGGGCAAAACTTTAAATCAAGGAGCAGTTTATCTTTAATTAAGAAAAACATAATTAGGCATTATCACATAATTGCTATTACTGATGGAGAAACTCATATTTTCACAACTAGTGACCCATGTCGTATTATGTCTCTGCTGTTTACTGCATAATAAATCTGTATTTGTGTTTGGCAGCTAGCCAGAAAAATTAAAAGGTAATCACCATGCTTCTCTGCAGTCTGGTCATCAAAATCTCTGACTTCACAGATGAGTAAATAACAAAGTCAAGTTGTGGTATCCTAACAGAAAATCTTTAGGAATAACTATATTTTTCTCCTCTGTCAAGACACCAAATGACACTTGAAACAACCATATACAAAAAAATTTTGCAAAGCAGATGAGAAGAACTGTGCTATACACCTGGTGTTGAGTTAAAAAACAGTTTAATGTCTCAAGGCACCACCACGGTAGAATTTTATACCTGCAAGTAATCATCTAATACACTATTGTACAGTTAAGGTAATGTATTAATAAATAGCTTGTGCAATTTTGGGAAGCAATCTATAAAGGAATGTTAGATATACAATAGGCACATACTATAATACAAATAAAAACCAAAATTCCTAGAAAAAGCATGCTGAGCACCTCTTGGTATAGGTTGAGTTTCTTATTCTAAACACTATGTAAATCTTAACTTACAAAAGGTAAAACTGAAATCTTAGAGCAACTGCTTATTTAAACTGATTTTCCTGGGTATTTTCCTCTATGTCACAGGATTATTCTTAGGGACAGAGGACTCTGGTACTGGCTGTAAAGGGCTGTCTTGTTCGTTCAGTTGTGCGTTCAAGTTTTCAGAAGTTAGAAGAGAAGAATTAAAAACTATTTCACTTAAGTCTGATTTTATGGATACCAGGTGTGGTTCTTGAAAATTCAATGGTTCTTCTAAAACCTGTGTATTTTCTCGTGTCATTCCCATATCTGATGGTGACTTTCGTTTCATTCTTGTGTACGATTTGTCCAAATTCTCCATGCCTTGGTCAGTTTTCTGAAACCGCCCAAAGAACCAGATGAAGAAACCAAACAAAGCAAAAGCCAGCAAACTTGGAATAAAAGCCAGGCATTTGACATCAAGGCTGGAGCCTGTGAACCTGCTGTGCAAGAACATGTCCCCTTCGGCATAGGTCCGGTTCGTCAAAGGGTTTGTGTTATTGGATCTCCACTCCCAAGATAACTTAGTTCTGTTAAGGTCTTTCAAGCTCTCTGAGTCCTTCACTGTGTAGATCTTCTGTCCAGGACCGATATATTGACCATATTCATGAGGTTTGTAAAATATTTGGTTCTTCCACATATTTAGATCCAAGATTAAAACAAGGAAGATAATTCCATAGTTAAACCATTTGCCTGTTTGGAAAAAGAAAATTCTGTCATCTGATATATCCATTTTAGAAGCAGTACAAATGCCATTACACATAAAAGATACTCAGAGAAAAAAAAAGTTCATTTTTATTGATCTGTAAAGATTAATAAAATAAATAAATGTATAAATATTAAAAAATAAAATTTAATAAATAAATTTCCACCACAGTCAGATTTATGCTAAATATTCCCTAGTATTTCACAATTAGGTCTGAACAAAAACAATTTTGTAGCACAAGCACAGAAGTAGAACTATTCAATTGACATTACAGTTTGTAAGTGACCAGCTTATTAGATCGCTAGGTGATGTGTTATAGAGCAATAAACCTAGAAAAAGCAATAATTTCACAGCTTTAAAAATATTCACATGGAAATTTTCCATAAAAAGGCCACATTTGACAGAACCATTTATATTCCAAAAAATACTGAAGTGACTGAGGTTCTTGAGGTTGGTAACTATATGCATTTTAAGAGTATATACTTATGTTATTTGCTATACCAACTATGGAGTGTCGATATATTCAGGTATGGGCAATCAGAAAAACTGTGATTTATAGAATCACAGTGAGATTGTTGAGAAATAGCAAGGGCTGATTGTAGACTTCCAAGTCTAGCCTATTTTTTTTATAATCTGTGTCAATGAATACACATAACAAATTATACTATTTTCACAGTCAAAGCATATCTTACATTCTAGTTAGACATATGTTAAGATCTCACCTGTGCAGTGATGAATGCCATCACCCAAGAACCTGGCAAATCTACATGTCAGCATTAAGTGAAAATAAACACATGGAGGAATGTTTCTGCTGGTGATGAATGATCATGGTCTTTGCTGGAATCATATCTAAGTATGCTTCAAGTGAAAAAGAAAATGTATCATAGGATCTATCAAATTACTTAGGCTAGTGACTTGCACAGAATTAATGGATTCCAGTTCCTGAAAGTATGTGTGTTCAAACTGTCCAACCAGAATCCTTCAGGAGAGTAAGGAGACTAACTTCATGTATTCAGGAGTTATGTTTAATGGCTCTCTTCAGTTCAGATTAAATAGATTGAAAATAAACAAGAATATTTATTCTCTTGTTATTCTCTCATGTTGAACAGTTGTCACTGCTTGCAAACAAAACTGAACTGAAAAGACCTTGCAGACAATCCTATCACTCCTGAATAACTCCTCTATCAAAGTCAAGTTGGACGGGCTTTGAACAAACCAGTGTAGAGGAAGGTATCCCTGCTCACATCAGAAGGGCTGGAACTAAATATCCCTTAGGATCCCTTCCAACTGAAACCATTCTATGATTTCTCCCTGTGATTTTGTCAATTTTATAATTGACATGTTAAAGAAAACTATCTTTTCAGACTATTAACACCACATTAAATAACATTTAACACCAAGAGACTGAAAGTGATGCTGAAGTATGAAATAATATAACAAACAATACAATGTAATTTGATGTTTCCTGTGGATGTTTGCCATTTATTTAATGTTTCTATTTTTCCCATCACATCTGTCTTTCAACAGAAAGACTCAGGATTCACTGATCAATAGCTGTTGTCAAGCAGAATGTAGTAGCTGACTTCTTGTTTTTTTCCTCAGCTGGGCAATTAGATGACTCTTCTTTACCTTACCATCATTTCTTAGGACACAGTGATAATATCACTACTTTTCGTACTTTCACTGTCTGAAAATGTTTTGAAAAAGGATTCAGAAGTTATTTGATGCTGAGTGTTTGATAGAAAGATACACTGTTCCTGTCTCATAGAAAGTATGAACTTGAAACTCCCTCCCTCAGCTCCCAGTCAGAGCTAGGCAGGCAGAAACTAAGCCCTGAGCTCAGCTGCTGTGATTGTTGGGTGCATGTGGGCCATACAAACCACTTAAGTCCAGCATCCCATTTAGTGAGGATGAACTGCCACCTGTATGTCTAAATGGCAGCTAGCTGACTGAGAACAGCTGCTGTTCTATAGCAGATTTTCCTCAAAAATCCTTAAATTTCTTATTCTCAGCCAAATTTTTCACCCTCTGCTTCATTGTTACGCTTGATGAGCTCTATAAATTTTCCTTTTCTTTTGAATACAGTTGTCACCAGAACCAAAGGCTGTGTATGAGTAACGGTCTCACTATAACCTTATATGAACACAATGACATCTTTCTGCTCCTACTCAATAATCCCTTTATCCAAGGGCTGCATTAATGTCCTTAGAAACAAAATGACTGAGTTAGTGCTGTCTTGGGTACTTACAGAAAGTATTTACCTCTTTCTAGAATATCGTGTCCTCTGCCATCTATCCCTCTCCAAGACAGGTATTCACTCCTGTGGTAGCTAGCATGACAGTCAAAGAAGCCAACCCAGCCATCCTTCTAGATCTGTGATGTTTTGGAGCACAAAGATGTCATTGTGCTCATATGTGGTTATACAGAGATTTAATATATTGCCCAACCTTTAAAATTATAACTTAAATGTTTATAATGTATGTATATTAAATGATTGTCTATTGCAACTTAATTTTAGCATAATCATTTTCATAGCAAACTTTAAGTCATATATCAAGCCTATATAGGAAATAAGCTAGGTAAATGAAAACTCAATCATAACCTTTGATCTTGTGCATGAACAAATTCAATTTTGTAAGTTTGCAAAGGATCATAACAAATGTATTATAACTGTATAGATATTAATTTTATTTTTAAAAATATCAAGTTTCATTCCAGATAAAAAGTGACAAGGGAAGATGGAGCTCCACACTACAAAGTCATTTAACTTGTTTCTTACCCAGCTTCTGTAGAATTAGTATTACTACTGCTTTAGGGCTGACCCTACTTCCATGAAATTTGTGTGGCAATACTGACATACACCTGACCCCAATTAGCCCTTCTTGGATGGAAAATGCTTTTTTCAAAGACAACATTTGAAATGGAAGGATGTAATAGGATAAACTCTCAAAGACTGGAAGGCTAGTAATCATTTCGTCAAACTGAAAAGAATTTTATCCAGTCTTCAATGAAGTTAACAATGAAGAAAGTCATGTGGGAAAATAGGTTGTGCCATTTAGCCATGCACTACTTGATTTGGTTAAAAACTTCATAACTTTCACAGCCCTGACCCTTTACATGCTGCACATAATATTTGGAAAGTTAGGAATCTGATTTGGTGTATTTGGAAACATCGTACAATACTGCAATTTGATGCAACAAAGATCTTCCAAAATAAAAATTGGACCCAAGAGTGTTAGTGTCCTTGTCAGGCTGTGATGCAAAACATGACATGTTTTTATAGGCACTGTAGACTACAACCAGTATTTGGGGATGAAAATTCACTCCTGTTTTCTGACAAAGCATGTCTGTTGAAGAGGATTGTATTCTCGTGGCTGGAACACTCACCAGAAAGGAAACTTTGACTCTACAATAACCTCCACTTGTGGCAGCTTGGAGCTGCATCATAAGACCATGCTCTGAACATCAGGCTGTACAGAACTCTGCTTAGAAACAATCTCCCTGTGCTGCTGAAGCTCAACAACTGTGCAGTGCACATGAATGCCAGGGGTTTTCTCATGTTGAAAGAAGTATGGATTTTCATTTTTCCCTTTTCCAGAAATTCACATATTTTCACCATCAAACAAGATTTTTGGGCAATCCTCCACACAACATTTGGAATATATCCCAACATTCCAAAACAGCTGCTGATTCTGGAGCAGTTTTATCTTTGTATGCCCACTCTGGAACAGACCATTCATTTCCCAACGAAAGGATCTCACGTAGAAGCTAGTCCTCGGGAGCCTTACTGAGGTCAGGAGGTAATGTGAAAATTCTACTTAATAAGGCTAGACACAAGCAGCCTCATGCTGTGCAACCACAGCCAGAGGCTAGTGTAGGACATGTTTGATTTAGACTTCTATCTCAACTGTAATTTGTGTCTAAAACCACACAGACACTGCTGTAAAACATTTGAAATGTTCTTCCTATCTTCTGTCACATTAGTGTTATTAGCTAAATACATGCATACAGACAGACCACTCACAGCTGATCTAAGATGTTAATCCTCTGAGGTTCTTTCACGTCTGTGTGCGTGGACAGCTTTGGTTTTACCTCTAACCTTTCTATTTTTGCCCACAGACTCCCTTGGGCTATTCTGTGTAAGCTTGGGCTGAATCTCGACACGCTGTTGGTTTAACTCCACAAGCCAGCCATGCTGGTAACTCCCCAGCTATGAGGGTGACAATTTCTCCTTTGGGTGGAAGAGTACTTGGGTCAAACACGTTACAAACAGCCAGAGAAATCTCCCATTTCTTCTGATACCTAAATTGTAACATTTTCACTCTGAAAATTACCTGCATACTTGACAGTAGATGCTCTTGGATTTCCGATGCAGCCATTAAAGGGTACAAGGCAGGCCCCCTACCCAGTGTCTTTTAATCACAAAAGAAGCTGAATAAAATTTATTTTAATTTTTACAAATTTCCCTGGGTATTACAGAAACTAGGATAGACTATGTATTTTCATGAACATCAGCCTAAAAAGGAAAACACACACTTTGCAATGAACCATCTGTCAAGGGAAATCCAGATGAGCTAAGCAGATGCAGGAATTCAAGTTTTTTTTCAATGTTCATAAAAAAAAGTGGCTATCAAAACAGAATGAAAATATTTAATACTCAGTAAGGAGTATTGCAAGGAGTTCCTAGCTGCAAAGAAATGAGAGTAAAATGAGGTACTCACTTACCAGTAAAAATAAGATAGCTTTTCACAATAAATTCAAAATTACACTGAAGAGTCAGAAGATGTTAATTCACTATTACTGTCAACAACATTAAGAAATCATAAGTCAGGACTAAGGAAGTATGTTATTAAAGTATCATGGGTTAAAATAATATACCTTGTATAGTTGTATTTTTCTGCCTTTTTAGACACTGAATTATGCAGAAGCAAATTTTAATTTTTTTTCTCTGCAATCATGATCTTAATTTTATGAAAGCTGAAATTCTCATTTACTCACTGTATTCAGGAGATAAATCTTTAAGACAACATAATGAAAAAGAAGAAAAAGAAAAAGAGAAAGAAAAAGAAAAAGAAAAAGAAAAAGAAAAAGAAAAAGAAAAAGAAAAAGAAAAAGAAAAAGAAAAAGAAGAAGAAAAAGAAAAAGAAAAAGAAAAAGAAAAAAGAAAAAGAAGAAAAAGCGCAACTGTCTTAAGACTTGTGACAAAGTCAGGAGAGCTGGCAACACATAGCATGTAACTGAAATTATTCATCCATATAGAACTTGCTCAAAGCCATCAAGGACAAACCAACAGAATGGTGGCTTGAAATCCTTGACTCCTCGGAATGTTGCTTTCCTTAGAGCTGCTCCTTTGTGGGACCATTGCTTATTAGAACAAACAATATTGAATAGGATTGCTTTTATTTATATCAATCAACAGTGTCTAAAACAGACTGTGTAAGAACTAATAAAGAATAAATTCTGCCAGGAAAAGGATGACAAATGTTATTTCAGCCATGCCTTCTTTCTTCTTGCTACTTGGGAGAAAATGGTTTTCAATTTCTAAAAATTAGAGCACAAGTCATAGATTTACAGCCTGGATTTATCTATGTAGCTAGTACTAAAAGAAATGCTTTTCAGGCCTCAGTGTTCATTTCCTGCTTGTTACTTAAAAGAAGTCCTATGGTTAATTTTAACATTCTGGATTCTGTGTATTAAACAGGACTTAAATAAAGCTGGCTCCCTGTTGTTACCATTGTTCTACCCCCATGTCACCTGCTGCAGTTGCATTCATGTCCATCATTTGGATTATAATTATCTTGATTATATATATATAAAATACATATAATTAGGGGTTTTTTTTCTTTTCAAATATTCTACACCTTGATTTGAGTAGATTATTCAAGTATCTGCACATCCAGACAGTTCAGTAGAGCTTGCAAATTATCCAACATGATGCCCTAACCTAAGACAAGAACTGATGGCAAGAACAGATGGTTCAAGCAAAACTTACCCAAAGGGAGGTTCTTGTGCCATGTGTTATGGCTGTTTATTAGATCTCCTAAAGGGTGGTGTAGCTCTGAGATAAAACAGGCTCTCAGTAGACAGGATACGTGATGTGCAGTCAAATGGATTGATTTGTCTAGCGAATCTAATAAATGGATCTTGTTAATGCTGAGCAGGGAAAAATTTTCCTCAGCCCTCATTCATTATCTCATCCTCATTAAAAGAATGCCTTCTCACTAGAAAATCAGAAAGGATTCCAGTCGTCTCTACAGAAGACTACAATGCATAAATATTGGTTTTATTTGGTTGGCCTGTTTTCAAACAGCAGCATTGCTACTGATAGCATTTCTGATCACTAATTTATGTTCTTTGCTCTTGTTTATTCTTTGATTATCCCTGATTATCATCTATGTCTCTGTCTCTTCTACAATTCAAAACTGTTCTTTGCTCTTCAATTCCTCTTCTATGACCCATTAATTATATGCCAAGGTTCTGTATCTGGTGACACAGCCCAACCTACCATGCCTCAGCCATTTTTCCTACTCCTCTGTGCATCCATTCCACTACTTTTCCTGATACAATGGAATAGCAGTCTGGCATCTGGGAACCTTGTGGGACTGAGCCCCTCCAATTTAATTCCCTACCTTGAGAAAAAGGAAAAAAAAATCATTTTTGCTATCCCTGAATTCCATACCTGTAATTCACATAAAATATCTGATGCTTAAACTATTTTTTTCCTCTGCTCCTTTCTCTTTCTGCTCACTTGGGAGAGAAAAATGTGTTCATCATGTACACATAACATTTCCTTTCACCCTACACCTTCTAGTCACTGACTGGTCATCATTTATTTTATCCTGTTCCATAAACCACTAATGGCTCAAATGGTTGCCCTCAGATATGTACCAGCTCTTCTTTCTCCTCGTTAGCTGGCTGCTCTCTGTCAGCATTCCAGCAGGACACCTACCTTCAATTTTGAAAACTTTCTATCCCTCCATCTGTAATTCCTGCTGGCCCATTTGCCTTCCCTCAGTCAATAGCCAACAGGTACCTTCTGCACTATTTTTATCTTCTTTTCTGTTTTTTAATCTCATTTCTGCATTCTCTGCTGAAAACACTTCTTTCTGAGGCCTCATTCAGTCTGCCTCAGCTCAGTGCTGGTGTCATTCTTTTCTTGACACATTTTCTTCCCTCTGCTTCAGCTGTCTGCTGAGCTTGTGACTCACCTTCTAACTCTTGGCCTTATCTTTGTATCATCTCTGAATGCTCCTTTTGTCCCTGGTCTGCAGGGGTTTCTTTTGGCTTGTCCTTGGTTGCCCTCATCTATTTTATTTCTGTGTGGCGTCATGTGCTGTGACTTTTTATATTAGCAGTTAAAGACCCCTGCCAATTCACACCTTCATTCTTCTGTTATCCATTATTATCCATCTCTTCTCAATGTAGAGAGAGGAGCTATACTCCTTTTGTATAGCTTGAAGGTAAAACCAAAATATTTATCCCTATTTAACCTCCTTCTCTTTTTCATTCCCTACTGTTATTAAAATACTGACTCACAGTATGCAAGGATCAGGTACTTTTTATCTATGTGTATCATCCATTTCAATAACTGCAATTCTATTTTATTTGAGGTTATTTAACTGTCTGCTTCTTGTTAGATGACTGATGGAAGCAGGGTTATGAGTGGCCTTTGCCAGATGAGAATGACCGAAGTTATAAAAAGATATTAGCATAAATCATAGCAAAGGCATCTGAAAGCATAAGAGATTTGGAGATGAAATAAGCTGCTAATTTCCCTGAGAGAGCAATTTTAGATAAAAGATGTCTGAAGTTACATTATGTATTACTTAATGTCACAAGAAGTTGCTGAAATCCGTGAGAAATAGCAGACTGCTCTGATTTGTAAGATACAGGTTCCTCATTTCCTTGAGATGGTTATATATGGAGAATATGGATATGGACAGATAAAGAGACAGAAAAAGTCTGGGACAAACAGAAAAAAATACACGTTTAAGACCATGGTAGCATACATTTGTTACATAGAAGCAGTTCACTGAGTCAGGATCTGTAAGATTACCTACCTGTTATGTGTATGTGATATTCCTCTTTCAGTATCTTTTGGAAATAAGGTACTTTGAATTGCATGTGTGCTGAAGGCAAGCCTGGAAGATTCACTTCAACATCACCCATAAAATGTGGAAACTCCCAGTCCTGTTAAAAAAGAAAAATAAGAGCCTAAAAGTAAGATTTCACAGTATATTTTTGCCTTTAAAATGGCTTAAATTAATAAAACAGAAATGTTCTATATTTAAGCCTCCATTATTTGTTTTTCTTACTTTAAATTTGACTGACCTACTTAAAATAGAATACCTTATTTATATTTGATATTACAATGTAATTTTTACCTCAACTCCATGTAATTGTATAAAATGTGTATAAAAAGTTCATCTCAGAATGACAGCACTGAATCCAACTTACTAGCTGATAGTACAAAACAGAATAAGGATAATAATACTTATTTAAAACCTGGCAACACTATGAATACCTATATAAAAACCTTGCTATGCTACTTACTCTTAGTAATTTGTAATTTGGCAAACAGTTTACAGGTATGAGATTGGAAAAGGTAGCCTAAGCCTTTCAAACACCACATGTATCTGCATTCTACTTGTTCAACTTGCAGGGTGTTTTCTGTATTTTGCCTTCATACATTTAAATATACAATCACTGCAAGTGCAGGCCCTTCAGCATAATCTGCCTGAATCAACCCAAGCGCAGTTTTCTCCACTGCCATATTTCAGCTGACAAGATAATGCTGGAAATGTGGAAGCTCTTACCTAGCATTATGCAAATTTTGGTAGTGTGTGGTACCCCAGCTGAGGAAGAGCTGCATTTGAAGGAATTTTTCACTTGGTTATCTGTACCCACCATCAGTCACTTGAAAATGGCTATGACAGCATGGCTCATTAGAGCCCAAACTGAAAGCAATAGTGCTAGAATCAGGATGATTACTGCCAGTGTCTTTACTCTGTGCACTGCAGATTGTCGATAATCTCCTGTTACAAACACACTGCCCCTCTTCCCATGCACAGTCCTGGATTTGTATTCAACAAGCTGGTGCCACAAGCACCTGAATTACTAAAAAAAAAATATAAAGGAATCCAAAATGTGAAGAATTCTATGAGTGACTTCTGATTCTTCCACATGAAAACCATTCCAGCATAGCTGTCTTCCCGTGAGAACCAATTCTACTATTCAATTTTCAGTGTTGTAAGGATAGAAAGTTTCCTTAAAGAGTAATAAAAAAAATATTCAAAACTAAGAATCATCTACTAAATTGGGAGGAGCTGTTGACTCCCTCAAAGGCAGAGAGGTCCTGCAGAGAGACTTTGGCAAATCAGAGGGCTGGGCAACTACCAACTGTATGAAGTTAAACAAGACAAGTACCAAATTCTGCACCTGGGATAGGGCAACCCTGTCTGTTCCCAACACACTGGGAAGTGCAATACTGGAAAGCAGTGCTGGAGGAAGGGACCTGGGGGTCCTGGTCAATAAGAAGTTGAATTTGAGTCAGCAGTGCTCTGGCAGCCAGGAGGGCCAACCCTGTCCTGGGTGCATCAGGCACAGCATCACCAGCCAAGCAGGGGAGGGGATTGTCCTGCTCTGCTCTGCTCCTCACCTCAAGTGCTGGGGGCAGGTTTGGAGGCCATATTATATGACAGATATAAAGCTATTAGAAAGTGTCCAAAGGAGGACAACAAAGATTGTAAAGGACCTTGAGCGGAAGCCCTGTGAGGAGTGACTGTGGTATTTTGGTCTTTTCAGCCTGGAGAAGAAGAGACTGAAGAGAGACCTCATTGCAGTTACAACTTCCTCATGAGGGGAAGCGGAGGGGCAGGCACTGATCTCTGCTCTGTGGTGACCAGTGACAGAACCCAAGGGTATGACCTGAAACTGTGTCAGGGGAGATTTATATTATACACCTCAAAAGGTTTCTCCCCAGAGAGTGGTTAAGCACTGGAACAGGCTCCCCAGGGAAGTGGTCACAGCACCAGCCTGACAGAGTTGAAGAAGTGTTTGGACAACGCTCTCAGGCACATGGTGTGATTCTTGGGGTTGTACAGTGCAGAGCCAGAAGCAGTCCTTCTGGGTCCCTTTCAAATGAGGATATTCTATTCTATATATGACCTCTGAAAGATTAATCACTATATATAAATTAACTTCCAAGACTTGCTAAGGTCTCCAACATTTTCTACAATGAAAGGGAAATGGAAGAGTTTTATGATCTGGAAATTGCACAGCCTGATCACTAACAGCTGATCTGTGCTAACTATTTGTTATACTGAGTTAAATGGATTAACAGGAGTGCAAGCAAGGAGAAAATCCGACACACTTTACCTAGTTCTTAATGTTCACAGAAATGCAGAAAGTGTCAGTTTACAGATGTAGAAGATAAGAAAATAAGGATGCTCTCATTTTGCCTTATCGTTAGGGAATTCCTCCCTTAACCCAAATAAATGAAAACAACCCCCACCACACAGTAACCTCCCCCATCACTCGCCTTGCACTAGGAAGCATCCTAGCAGGATTCCTCATTACCTCATTCATCATCCCCACAAAAACCCCTCCAATAACCATGCCACTCCCCATTAAAATAACCGCCCTAATCGTAACAGCCCTAGGCATCGCTTTAGCCCTAGAAATCTCAAAAATAGCCCAAACACTCATTCTCACAAAACAAGCCCCCCTCTGAAACTTTTCAGCTTCCCTAGGGTATTTTAACCCTCTAATTCATTGCCTAAGCATAACCAACTTCCTCAAAACATCGCCTCCCATCTAATTGACCTATCCTGATACAAAATATAAGGCCCAGAAGGACTCGCCAACATACAGCTAATAACAACCAAAACCGCCACTACCCTCCACTCAGGCCTAATCAAAGCCTGCTTAGGATCATTTGCCCTATCCATCCTCATCATCCTCATATCCACATACAGAAATAACCAATGGCCCTCAACCTTCGTAAAAACCACCAAATCCTCAAAATCATCAACAATGCCCTAATCGACCTCCCAGCACCATCAAACATCTCAACATGATGAAACTTCGGATCTCTACTAGGCGTTTGCTTAATCACTCAAATCATCACAGGTCTTCTGCTAGCCATACACTACACAGCAGACACCAACTTAGCTTTCTCCTCTGTCGCTCACATATGCCGAGACGTACAATTCGGCTGACTTATCCGCAACCTCCACGCAAACGGAGCCTCCTTCTTCTTCATCTGCATCTACCTACATATCGGCCAAGGCCTCTACTATGGCTCATACCTGAACAAAGAAACCTGAAACATCGGAGTCATCCTCCTCTGCACTCCTGGTAATACCTGCCCAGCTGTAGTCCCTTACCCTGCATCTGTAGACATCCTCTTGCAGGGGGTAGGCATTCAAAAAAGTCCCAGAGATAAAAATTTTATGCGTGCACACTTTCAGTTCACTGTTTCTAATATACATCTCAGGACTGGTGTCTCTTGTCAACTCATACATACTCTCACCCAGGAATAAATAGGAAGAAATAAATTACATATTCCTGAAAATAAATGAATGGAGAACTGTGAACTCTGCGTTAGTTATAAGTAAACATGGGTCTATAAATTTGGCCTCCTGTTCCTGCCTTGCCCCAAGGCTCCTACTGTGCCTTTTGCTAATTTACAGATAAAATTCCACCATGCAGAATTTTGCACTGGTCTGTGTCTCTGCATCTGAGTTTTTTATTAAAAAGAGTTTTTTCTCATCTGGATCTGAGTAATAACATTTTCTACATATATGCCCCATACTGTGTGAAGCATGCCTGAATTGTATCATGGCCCTTATTACACTGAAGCACTGTAATATGGTGTGGCCATAACTACAGAGATGGGCACAGGCTGGTGCTGCAGACCTCACAGCTATAAACAACTCACTGGTGCTCAGCTAAAGAAATGCAGATCTAGGCTGGGCAAAACTACTTTTAGGGGTAACAAGGAGAACAAAGAAGTGTCTCACATAAGACGCTATCCGTAAAACCTAGCTGTAAAGTGAAGCTTCAGATCAAGGAGGAAACAGCAAGGTCTTAACATGTTATCAAATATAAAAAGAGCCCCAAGCAGCTTCTAGCATAAGAAGAAAGAAACCATCATGATGAAGATTATATCCTTCCCAGCCAAGGACTCCATATGCCAATGACGTGCCATAATGCTCCCACTGAACCCCATCAGACGGAAACTGCCCATTTCAAGAACCACAGGAACAGAGGGAGGATGGATTAAACATAAGGAAAAGCAATAGAAACTAAGAAGTCTGTGCATAAGAATTTAGACATTGTTATTATTATTAATCACTACTACTATTACTACCACTACTACTACTACTACTGAAACTTCTTTCTGCACAAAAGTATTCTTTTCTGTAATGATTAGATCTCAACTAATAATCTGTGGATTACACTGTTTAAATTTAACACTTATAATAAAATCTTGGCTTTATATGTAAAGCCTTCCTCCCCCATAAATAAAATTTTGAATGTAACACCTTTATCAGAACATTTATGCAGTCTGTTCTTTAAGAACAGTCCCATGAAATTACGGAAATAAAATATTTTTTAAAGCCACCAACAAATAATAAAATGTATTTGAAAGCAATTTTACGATAAGGAAACTAAAATAATGAGTTAAACCTACTGACTTCTATGGAAGTCATTACAGATGCAGCAGTTAGGAAAATGAAACTTTAAGTTAGGGATTAAATAGCCTTTGGATCTTCATTTAACTCACAGCTTTGCTAAGTGTGAGTGTCAACTGTCTACTGACATTATCACCTGCAGATACATAGCTGTCGTATTATTACTGTGCCAAAGAAAAGTAGATTATTATTACATTTTCAGGCTAATGCCAATATCAGGCTATCAAATCCAAGCCCAACAAAGTGGCCATTTTACTATCTAGATTCTAAGAAAATATTGTCCAAAATCTTTTGAATGTGTTTGGTTTTTCCCTTACTGACAGCCAAAAGACAACCTAATTTCAGCAATATCCATAAAAACATTTTCCTAAGAAATTCAAGATGCCTTGTAGATATATTCCACCTCACTTTAACAGCTACAGGAATAGACCAAATGTTCAAGCCCATAAATCCAAACACTTCCCAGTCTGGAACATAGCTCAGGCCTGCATC